GGGGGGGGGGAGGAGGACTTTCCAAGTCTAAATCTTAACCCAGATGGAGGCTGGCTTTTGAGAAAGGAAAAGAAAGGAGAAAGCATTCAGTGGCAACAGGGAAACCAAAACCCGACGGCCTGTCCAAAAAGTCATGACCCTCTTGGGCCTGGGTGACCAGCCAATGGCCAGGACGGCACGGAGTCCAGAGCACCCAGAAGAGCTCGGGGAGCAGGGTGTGGAGAGCTCCGTGAAAACAGGCTATGGCCACCACTGCTTTCGCTGGATTTTAAAACTTTTACCAGAGAAAATTACAAACATAATTACAAACAAGGGTCAAGAGACTCATATAACGAAATTCTGTGTGTCCATTTCCAGCTTTCAAAAGTAGTGAATTCCCGGGGAATCATTTTCATTCTTACCCCACCAATTCCCATATCCCCAAATTTCTAAGCAGATCCCATTTATACTGTGTTTTTTAAAGATATTTCAGTGTATATCTCTCAGAGAGAAGGCCTCTTTTTCCAAACATGTTCACAATACCACTACATGTCTAAAAAAATAATGACAACCCCACTGTATTATCAAACATCCAGTCCGCTCATTCATCCATATCTTTGTGGCAGTAGTTAACATGTCTCTTAATTTCTTTTTATCTATAGGTTTACTCAGCCTCTTTTGTTTTCCCTAATAATTTGTTGACATAACATGTAACTTTTTGGGTAAGGCTTCTCACTCTACATTTGGCCAAGGGCACACCATAGGTATTGTTTAGTGTGTTCCTCTGTCTCTTGTATTTCCTGGAAACTGTTGGGTAGATTTAATGATTTGATCACATTCAAATTTTGTTAATTTTTATGATATGGTGAGGTTCCATTAGGTAGCACCTAATACCTAATTACCTCTATTTATATGATGTTAAGATAGATCCATGGGTATCAGTGTCACCAGCCAAATCTATCTCTCATAATATTCTCCATTACCTTTTCACCTATTGATTTTATTACTATTAATAATAATAATCTTTATTTTAATTTTCCTCCTTAATTTATAATCAGGAATACTTTTATAAAGAAAAAGAAACTTTCTAACATCGACTACTTGGTTGTCTTGAGTTAATGTTTGACTAAAAAGACAGGGAAAATGATTCATCTTTCCTTTTATTTACTAATTTTCATAATAATTAATGCTCAGCGGGGGAGGAAAGGTTTATCTTGGCTCACTGTTTCAGAGATTCCGTCTAAGTTCATTGCTCTGGGCCCAAGTTGCAACAGATCATCATGGCAGGAATGGAATCCCTAGAATTCTCCAACTGTAACAGTGAATCCTCTACTTATCTAAAATAACATTATGAGTTCAAGGAATTTTTACATACAGGATGTATTTCAATGTATTGCAGCTATTCTTTCCTTTGATGTTTAGGTTGCTCATCTTTAGACCTTACAAACTACTTCCCATTGCTCTTAAGTCATTTTAACATGTCCCCAAGGGCCTCTGGTATTCCCTTGCCTTCTGAGGTGAAAAGATGGTCCAGAATTGTCTTATGCATTTCCTATCCCACACATGTAATGATCTACTTCTGGAAGAAGCCTCAGTTTCTCAGTAAGAAATAGTATTTGGCGACAACAGTTGGATAGGAAATGCGCTCATTCCTACCAGGTTGATCAGTCATTCTTCCCAACCTTTTTCACTTAAATAGAATTATTTTTCTATTTAAGAAAAAACAAATCAGGAGTTCATTTTACTAATATTTTTCTCTTTACTGAGGAAAAACTCAGTTCCTAAAGGAAGTGCAATTATAACTTCCAATACATACATAAGCGTATGCATGCTTGTGTGTATGTGTGTATATGTATATATACGTCTATTCTATATGGCAAAAAAGAGACATGGACAGGGACTTCATTCTCATGACAGAAGAAAGAAAGGCCCCAGTGGAAGGAGTAAAGAGAAGATACTGGAGGAAGAAAGGGAAAATGGGGGAAGGAAAAAAATTAAGAAAGGAAACTTCACATGAATATAAAATTTGAAGTCTCATGCATGAGGTGAAGATGTTCGTGTACCAGAAAACAATTTCCTGAAAGCAAAAACTCCAAAATCATATTTCTCAATCATTTCCCACAATAATAACATTGTTGTAAGTACCCACTATATAAATTCATCGATTATCATAGCAACCTTAAGAGGTAGACATTATTATTATTATGTCCATCTTATCAAAGAAAAATTGGAATATAATAAGAGTGAGCCACTGGCTTAAGCTGGAATTACTGATGAATCAAAGCCAATATCCAACCTGGGCAATCTGAGTTTCATAATGATGACACATGTCTTTCAAAATAAGATGAAACATCAACACACAAGGGGATATAGCTCAGTTGGTAGGTGCTTGCCTCGCATGCACAAGGCCCTGGGTTCAATCACCACAAAAAAAAAAAAAAAAAAAATATATATATATATATATATATATATATATATTATATAATAAAAATTTAAAAATCTTCTTCAAAAAAGACCAATACATAAATATGTAAATATTCACACATGCATTTATGACTTGGAAAAGAGAAACTGTAACAAACTCAAGCTAAAAACATCTCATTGTAAAATGGAATTTTGGAAACACATGAAATTTTTATACAAATTAATAGCATTTATAAAAGTAGGAAAACTTACAGGGATTAAAATTAAAACAGAGAGAGAGAGAGAGAGAGAGAGAGAGAGAGAGACAGAGAGAGAGAGAGGGACTTATTCATTTATCCATCTATTCATTCCACAAAAGAGGACACTGAGAGATAGAGACATTAACTTCATAAAGTCACTCACCCTAAGACATCTACAAATTCAGAATTGTATAGCCCAAAGACTTTGAAATGGGCCTTTAGCTTTGAGGAACTCGTGTGGATGGTCTTGAAATGGGATCCAGGCTGTCTCTTCTCAAGGTGCAGCACTGTGTTATCCATGAAGCTTTCCTTCTGAACTTAGAATTCAATCCTCTTGTTCCATTACAATAAGCTAGAAATAGTCCCTTTGTCCCAAGTAGTTTCAGTCTAATGGGTGAGAAGGGGGAATCCCTCATGCAAGCCAGAGCAGGTGCAGGAAGTTATCCGCCTCCTTCCTTCTTCCCCAAGGGCCAATCATCACAGCTTCAGCTGAGGATGCCTGAGAAGCAGAGCCTGCAGCTGGGCAGCCCTCCTGCCAAGAGTGTGTAAACCCAAAATGGAAGCTGGAGGGAAAATAAGGCAGGCTCAGCACATCAATCCTCCCACTTGCTCCCCATCAGAACCGGGGAGAGCAGACGTAAAAACATCACCAGCTGGTGTGTTTCCTGGCAGAGACATCAGCCACAGCCTCGCTGGCCCCCAGACACACTCGTACAGCAAACAACTTCCATCTGTGGCTCCGTTTCCTTTATTGACTGGGGCTAATAGGCAAGGAAGAGAACAGACCAATGTTTCAGAGGCCCATGGGACCTGGGCGCTGCCTCCAGCAGGACAGGATTGATGGATCGTAGACTGACAGTCAACAGATGAAACCTCATGATGCCAGTAAACCCAGCTATGAAATGAGCAAGTGCTCCTCCAGGCACCACCGCTGCAGTGCCTGCCCTCACCTCCCAGCTCTGCCCACCCTCTACCTTCCAGAGCACACCAGCTGGGCTGGGAAGACGAGCAGGACACCTTAGGCAAGGCAGCATTAGGAGAAGCCAAGGCCTGCCTGGGAGGGTTGGGGACAGAGTGGGAAAGGCCTGCCCCTCCAGGCTTCCTGGGTCTTCCATCCCTGGTGGGTCTAGCTATGGATTTTGGATCCTTGTAGTCCACTGAAGAAACCACAGGCTCTTACATGGTCTTTTCTGAATAATCTTGGAATCAGCAAAGCAAAAAGAGAGAACTGAGAGTTAGCTTTCCTTCCAAGACTTGATGCAATTTTGTTTGCTTTTAACATTCCTCTATTCTCTTCCTCTTTGCTTCTATTTTAGACAGCCACCTCCCGTCTGCCTCTCCAGGAGGACTCCAAATAGCAAGGTGTAAGAGTCACAGTGGTTCCTTCCCCATTTCAATTCCCCATGGCTTTTCAACCCCCAATTCAAGTTCCAGACACGACAAGAAGGGAAGGTGGTGAGCTGTTCTCCTGGTCCCAACTCAGGATGCAAGTCGTGTATTCCACGTCCATCCTTCCACAAACGCTCACTGAGAACCTCTTATTTAAAATGGAAATAGTAAATTAGAAAACAAGTTAGCTCACTCTTTCAAATCAGCAAATGAATAATGAGAGACCTATTCACATTACAAAGCAGAATTTGTTTTTGTTGTTGTTGATGATGATGATCCCTATTATCCGTTTATTGTCTTACTTTAGTAATTCTCAGAAAAATCGAAGTTCATGTAGAATAAAAGTTGCAAATGGCTGAAAATCATCACAAGACTGACAAGGATCCAAGGATCAGTGGCAGAGTAGGGTGTGCTAGTGATTACCAAGCCAACCCTTGTGGGGCAGGTCAATGGAAATGCACATGGTGTGGCCTCTGGAGCTAACCCACCCAAGGACCATGTCAATTTCTCTGATCTTGTCAAGTCACTTGTTTGTTGGTCTCATTGCATCCAAATCCCTGTCTCAGTGTTTGGAACTTGAAGATGTTCAATAAAAGAACCCTCCTCCCCAGGCACACCCCCACACTCATTTTCCCTCCAATTAAAGGACATCATCGTACATATCTCTATTATATGACACTTTTTTATATAAATATTTTATTAATTGTTGGTGAATCTTTATTTATTTTGATGTGGTGCTGAAAATCACACCCAGTGCCTCACACCTGCTAGACAAGCACTCTACCACTGAGCCACAACCCCAGCCCCTATTAGATAACACTTTTAACAATACATTTCATTTTCTGATTACTGGTCTATGTCTCCCATTAAATTATGAGCCATCAGAGAAATGAAGCCATGTCTTGCGTATTTACCTGATAACTAAGAGTGCACAGTAGTTCCTCAATTCACCAGTTTTCAGATGGTCGAGTTTTAAATCTCTCAACTTACTTAAGGGTCAAAAATGACATCTAAAACATTGCCACAAGCAGTGGATGACTTGGTGCTAAGCCCTGCGCTACAGCAGACTTGTCAGAGGGGTCAAGTTCAGAGGTGAAGGAAAAGATCAGATGGAGGATCCCTGGGAGAGTTTCATGGGGGAGGCAGCTCCTGAGAGGGTGCTGTAAGATCCTGCAGCCCTAAGTGGAGTGAGGAAGTCACTTGAGAAAGGGTGAGAACAACGGGCAACACTGGGGGCAGAGGTGAGCATGCCTCAGGGAAGAGGGAAGGAGCTAAGGGGCTCAGAACCCAGAAAGCAAGGGCGCCTGCAGTTGATGTCATGGGAATGGGGAAGCACTGGGATGCAAGAGGAGCGGAGGGGCTTGGCGTTCCTGTTGCAAGGCCATGGACATAAGGTCTGAAGCCTCCCCACCTCTGGGGCATTCTGAAAGATTCAGGCTGCTTCTGGAGTTGTTGGGAAAGGAAGCTCATGGGAAGGGAAGGGAACCCCAGAGCTTCCTAGTGAGGGGTTAGGCACCACTGGGAGTCATCGTCCATCCTGCTGGAGCCATGTTCACAGCAGGAGGCCAACCTGAGCTCACGGAGGACCAGCATCCCAGCCCAGGGATGAGAGACTCCGGTGCGGTCTGCTCGATGACATGCTCACCAGCATGGGGCCACTAAAGGTCCTTGAAGAAGGAAAGATGAAGGATGTGTTGAAATGTGTTTGGGGAAGAATCATGTGTTAGTCAGCTTTCCATTGCTCTGGCAAAATTCCCAAGAAAAGCAACTGAAAAGAAGAAAGGTTTATCTTGACTTTGCTGTCAGAGGTTCAGGTCACAGCTGCCTGGCCCTGGCCCTTGGCCCTCTGGCAACACAGTACATCGTGGCGGGAGTGCACGGCAGACGAGGCCTTCTCGCCTCAAGGCAGCAAGAAAGAGAAGGGGCTGAGGTCCCAGCATGTGTCCCTTCCAGGACACAGTGACCCACGTCCTCCCACCAGGCCCCACCTCCTAAAGGGCCCACCATCTCCCGGGGTGCCACCGGGTGGCCACCAGAACTTCAGAGGACCCACTCCATAAAAGAACATTGTGTCAGAAATACAGGTTATTTTTTTTTCTTTTTTAATGAGCTACAAACATGGGAAAGGCAGACAAATTTAAAAGGTAATTGTCCATTTTGTGTGCAAGTACACTCACACATGTGTCACATTCTGCTCACTCACAACCCTGTGAGGCACATCTCACACCCATTTCACGGATGAAGAAATGCCAGGCGGTGACGTCAGTGGCTCTCTCAAGAGCACAAAGCTTCCAAAGGGCCCAGCTGACCTCGGCCCCAGCGCTGCTTTCTCAACTCACTGTGCACATCTTTGAATCAAGTTGTCCGTCTCCAGAGGAGCTGAGCTGCTCAGAGCACAGAACCTAACCCAGAGGGGCAAAGGGGACCGAAAAGCAGACAATGCCACTGAAACCCACGGAAGCAAAAATGGGTGATCTGGTGAGTGGCTGGGCAGGGGTAAGCTGCATCTTGGCTTCCTTGGTTAGAAAAATCAATGCCCTCGCTGGCCGCAGGTTTATCTGGGAGGAACAGGAAGATCTGTGAGAGGAGCTCGTTTCAGAACTTGTGGAAGTCACAATTGCTCAGGTGCCTTGCAAATGCCTGGCACAGAGTTCAATTTGTTACCATTTGCAAATGACTAAAAAGCTTTCCCTTCTTCTGTGAAGGTTTGAAAATGGAACAAACCCAGAGGACACCATTCTCTGCTCACGGCTGTAACCTGCAGCTGGGTGTTCTTAGGAGCACAAAGAAAAGAAAGGTCATCTTTCCTTTCCAGCAGAGAAAGTAAATTGTAAGCTGTTTTGAAATATGCTGGTGCTATTTTAAGCCTGACCACAAATCCATGTATCTTCTAGGTTAGCTTGTAGTTTGTATAACACAGTAACTCCAAACTGAGAATGTCTCATTATTCTACATGCCGCTGGACAAGGTGCCAAAAGACCAGACTCAGCCAGGCCACTAATCAGCAGGCGAAGCTCAGGTGAGTGATGTGACCTTGCTGGCCTGCCTTGCCTACTTCTCAGGAGCATTGACACATTCAGGCAAGCGCTTTGCAACTTACAGAGACTCACGTCCATGTAGGCCGTTATCATCAGTCTGTATAAAACAACAATTTGTACTTATTTTATCTCCAGTTTGTAATTCCATGCCATCATCAAGCCGCATCTGTTCTGGTCTGTAGCCCTTGGGACCTGTTTGGTCAGTTACAGTGAAGCTGGAGAAAATCTGATACAAGGCAGGCAGGACCTAGAAGTCCCCAAATTGTCATGAAGCCTTTATTTATGGAATAGGGCTAGTCAGGGTTTTTGCATCTGAGTGCAGCAGCACCCCTACAACTTTGGAAAATAAAGAAATAGAACAAGGTGATTATCATAATCACTGATGTCAGATGAGACAATGATTTAAATCATGTCTCTGCTATATAGTAGATGAGCAACATATCCTTTCTTGACCTCAGTTTTTTTCCACTAAAAATATAAGCAATTAAAAATAATCACATTAACGAGTGTATTTAAAGCAGCTGAACAAGTGCCATTTATTTAGAAAATGCTAACTAAATGTTAATTCCCTCTCCCACGTATATATATGCCCTTTCTTCCATGATGTATCAAAACAGAAATTACATTATCCAGGCCATATCTTTGCAAATTAACAAGTACTGGGTTTCTTGGTTGGTGGGTTTCTTGGAAACAGGGTCTACCCAAATTGCTCAGACCAGTTTTGAATCACAATTCCCCCATCTTACCCTTCTGAGTAGCCAGGACTACCTGTGCGCGTCACCACTGGGCAGCTAGGACTTTCTTTTAGATGTCTAGTGCACATTTTGCCTGTCTTTGTGATATCCTTAGAGCTACATTTGTCTACATGTCTCTGTGATCTCCAGGAGCTGGAATCTGCCCTCCCATACTGGCAGACAGCACACCCAAAAGAAAAAAAAAAAAAGAAAAACCCAGTTGAAATCCAAAGACATTCTTTATAAAACAAGACCTGTCTTGCTTTGTTTCAAGTAAATGTCCCTCCAAACAGGAAGCTCAGTACACAGATCCAGCTTCAGGCAAAGTATGGATTAGTTTCTGGTTTCAGAAAACCCACTGTGCTTCTTGGTGAACAATTCCAAGAATTGTCCCAGTT